GTCTTCAGAGAACCAAGTCACACTTTGTAAAACAACTAGATGTCTTAGGTTGAGAAAGATTTGTTCAGCAGGGTGTGATTGTTGGGAGAACAGCAAATCCACCTTGCTTGGATTTGACTTCAGCCTGTTCTATCCACTCCAGACTGTCACAGCCTCCATACACTGGGAAAGAATGTCAACAGAATATATCTTGTGCCCAGGGAACTGACGCATATCTGGGTATCATTAGTATACTGATAACAACATAGCTCAAACTATTGGAACTTCCCCAGTGGTTTGTTATAGATCAGTGTTTCTCAACCTTGGTCACTTGAAGATGTCCGGACTTCAACTCCCAGAATTCCCCAGCCAGCCATGCTGGCTGGGGAATTCTGGGAGTTGAAGTCCGGACATCTTCAAGTGGCCAAGGTTGAGAAACACTGTTATAGATGTTAGCATGGGATGAGCAGCCCCTGAAGTAACCCTAAAGATACACTACACCAAGAAACAGATACCGGGTGTTTCTAAAACTATTTTTAAGTTTTATTAAGATTTGCTGTTGTAACAGAATTTTGCAAGTTAGAATGTGCTAGTCTTTCTATCCGCATGTGAATTTGGAATACTTTTGCCACTTCACTCTGCCCCTGCCAAACTTCAACCTGGGCTTCTGCAATGTTTCTATGTTTGTTCCTCTATCCAATCTTCCCCGTCAAGATCACCCTTTTACTCTCCTCAGATATCCCGTATATCAGAGGCCATTGGGTTGACCATTCCCTTCCCACAACTGCAGATCATCTTCTTAGGAAGAAGAGCCACTGTAAAGCAGTTTTTCATCTTCCCAATCCTCAAAGATAAATTACTAAATTACTACGGTCGATGCTATCAAATTCCACAAGGTATCTAAAAGGAGCAGGAGAGGTTCTATCAATTCCATCCGGATTCCCAGAGGAGAAGTTTGGAGAGTGGCCAATAGTAATTTAGGAACAAAGGATCCAGAGATGGCATTTTCAGAGAATATACCACAATCTACTGCTTGACTGTAGGCAACTCCCCTCACACAGAGATTGCTTATCCATCTCATGGGTCAAAGTGGTCACTTTCCCATTCACTCCTCACAAAAAACAGGGATCCAAAGTATTTATATATGGCAGAAGACCTTACCCCTTCAACTTCCTTGGAGTTCATCCATACAAAGAGTATCATAATATGGGAGGGCAGTGCCCTAGTCACCCCCCCAAATTCTGATGAGTCAACATTATGGCACTTCTCTGTCAGCATAATATTATGCAAACTGATTTTAGCAGCTAACTAAGATGACTCCTCTCCAAAAGTCTTAAACCTAAACATGACTGCAGGACAAGTAACTGATACAATAACAGTGAGCCCACTTTACCACTCTGATTAGCTAATGTGAGCATATAACCATGTTTACTCAGTTGTCTTTTTCTACTGAGCCTTCTCCAGGCATCATTTCTGGCAGATTTGCTGGGGGAGGGAGGGATGTTTCTGTCAACCATGGTGCCAACTAGGATCCACCTTCAGAAAGAAGCTGCTCAGGAACCGTTGAGTTCAGTACCCAGCTTTTTCCCTGTAGCAGGGGTTTACCAGGCACTGACTAATTGGAAATTTTAAATCTTATTACATTTCATCTACTAATTTGGTATGGCATAGTAAAACGTAGCATGTCCCGAATACATTAAAATGATGACGACACAAGTGACTGGAGTACACAGTGGTATTTTATTAGTGCTTAACATGCAGCAACCACTGGGACAAAATCTAAAATTTAGGATTACAATTTTGATTTTTAAAAAGTGTTGAAGACTATAAATGCAACAAAACTGATGGTTCATGCATTTTCAAATTCTACACACATAGGCGCAACTTACATCATGACTTTCCATTTTGTGGAGAAAAATCGTCGTTCAACTTTTCTTTGTGCAAGACCTGTTTGGGGATTTAATATATGGCTATACAGGTTTATGCATTTTATCACACTAATACATAAAAACTGGAATCATCCATGCTGAATGAATTGGATACATCATTCATGATAAACTGAAATATACGTACTTGAGATTCTTTTGATACTTGGCTTAGAAGATTTAGTTGGGCTCAGAATCTTTTTGAGTGTGATAGTGTTACAGTTGTAAAATTATTTTTAAAAATTAAAAAAAAAGATAAAGTGCTATAGCAGTTGCATACTAAAAACTTTTAATAACAGTAATGAAATCTACAACTATATTGGAAATCATAAAAGGGAAATCGGGAAGATATCTCATGTTTAGAAATAGTTTAATGGAATTAATACTGCCTTTTTCTTCCTATCAATGCTTTGGCCTTTCTTCAGTTGCTTTTAAATCAGGAGGAAATTAACATATTTAAAACATGTTTTCAAATACATATATTTGCATTCCTAACACTCTACAAATGTACAACTTGTGCACAGGCCTTTGGGTGGATAGCCATTTTACATTATTAATAATATTCAGTGCAGGAAAAACGTTAAGATATACATTTGATTTCTTTTAAGAATCTGAGCAAAAGGTTTAACGGAGGCAGAAGGGAAGAAGTCATTAAATGCTTAACAAAGATTTTTACTCCAATTGAAAAAGCCTTCAAAATACAGGCAATGTTTTCATAGCTGGACCATTACAAATAGCCCTTGATTTAAGGCGAACAACAATAGATTAGCCAACTATAATTTATGGATAATTCCATATTCACTGAAAAATGGTAAGTAAACTCAAATTAATGTTCATGCAAGGTATCGCAAGAGTGTGTGAAATATACGCTTTCCCAATATTACCCATCAGGTAATCTCAATAGATATAATTTGATTTTAAACAATGCTTCAGAATTTATTTTGTATGGAACATTCTTGGAGACAACATTCTATTTTAAACAAATTAATGAATTATATGCTTTGCAGAGAATAAGAAGCTCTGAAAATACATTAATACTGGCTGTGATTTTACCAACACTTGTATTTAAAGCAAAATTGCCTTCTATACTGTTAAAAAAATATAGATGCAACAATTATGCTTTCAAAGACAGTCCCTGCTAATTTATATTATAGCTGATACTTTGTGCTTGCTTCTGTAAAACATTTATAAAAGGAAGCCTTGTACCTCATTTGAAGTTTCAGTTATTATTATTATTATGTACCTAAAGAAATTGATATTTAAGAAGTTGATCACAAAGGAGTATTTAAATTATATTAATAAATATATAAGCCATGTAATATATAAATTATAGAGTTGCTATTTATATACATTGCATTGAATATATTTTATGATGTCATTTAATATACCTGCCTTTTGTGATTTTTATAATTAACTATTGTAAATTTAAAGTGTCCTTTAATTCACTTTTGTGTCAAGCAGAAATTAAAAGGAGTAAAGAATTTAAGCAAAACAAAAAACAAAAACCTTCATAAAGCTGAACTTTATTTTAATTCTAAGAATTAAACACTATACACTCCACTCTGTTGATATTTCCCATTAAGATTAACCAAGTTAATTTGAAAACTTAAAAAGTTTTAAAAAGTTAAATATTAAGAATTCCAACATATAAAGTGGTTTACATTCATTTGGTATATTTGAAGAACACATGTAGGAAGGACCTAATGAATTTAATATAACGGAATCTCAGATTAAATGTCATTGGCTCAGGATTTTAAATAATATAACTGGAAGGCATTAAATGTGTTACTATGCAACATCTGTAAGCTTTCAATCACCAACTGATTTTTAAAATATATTCTATACAAACTATGAAAATAAACACCTATTTTAAATGCACAAGTTAACATTAACAAATAAAGCACAGCATAGAATTTGTACCTTATTGGAATTACAGAGGAAAAATGTATGCAAACTATCTCCACTTAATAGGTGTTACTTGTTTATTCCAAACTGTATCGAAAAATAAACCAAAGTCTAATAATCCAAATGGGAGCTCTGTTCATGGTACATATGCTGCTTAATATGGGTAGGGAAATTTAAAAATACAAGGAATACTTGCTCCCTTCTGATAATACGCTAACCTATTTTAGTTACAAAAGGGTTTTAATCAGTAATACATAATAAAAAAAAATCAAAACTTTCTGAATTGAAATTATTATTATTTTGGAAAAGGAAAAATAGTTTCCATTCTTCTCTATAGAAATCCTTAATATGTTTATGTATGAAAAAAAATGTTCATTACACAATCAAGAAGAAAATTGAACGAAAACATCATTTCATTCTTCCTAACACTGCATCCTCCTTATGTCTAAGCCTATTTCCACTTACTAGCAATCATTCTGCCTGAATTTTTGTAAAATAAAGGAATAACTTTTTGATTACAATATAGTAAACAATATTTTCTGTATGGCAATATTTTCCATTAGACTTGCATTTTACCACTTTGAAATAGTTGCATGACAACGCACATAAATTTATTTAGTCGGAGACATGCTGAGTCCAATATGTCCATCGTTCTTTAATAGAGGACAATATTTGACTCTGACACAGAATACAGTACTGAAATAATTGCAATCTATTTTAAAAAATAATTTCCTATATTGAAGAAAACAAGCAAGTCAATCTCAATTTATTGTCTCAAAAATTGCAGAACCCAAATGATTCATATGTTTATGCATATGCATATGTGTATACAGACAAACCCCTAAACACACATGAATAGCTGACATATTAATATTTAGACTCTTAAGTTCCTGTCAGCTTTTCTCCCCATACTTCTTATAGTCTAAACAAATGAGGTATTATCCACTATTTCCTTTTGCTTCATTTCTCGCTTTTTAAATATGCATATAAATGCTTAAATCAATGGCATGCTGTATTTTGTATATTAAGCTCTGGTCCATCCATACAGATTATGGAATTTGCCATTTGAAAAGCTCACATTTCTTCAAGAGCACAAATGTAATTGTTTCACGCTCTACACCAGTGGTTCCCAAAGTTGGCAACTTTAAGACTTGTGGACTTCAACTCCCAGACTTCTCCAGCCAGCACTGCTCTGCTGGCTGGAGAATTCTGGGAGTTGAAGTCCACAAGTCTTAAAGTTGCCAAGTTTGGGAACCACTGCTCTACACTAAGGATCAATACTGTCCCTCTCCTCAGGCAAAAATGTATTATCATCTCATTTACGGTAGTAGTGATTCCTAAAGTACATCACATTTTCCTTCATATTAAGAGCTGCAAGACACATTCTGACTCTGCACATTCATTCTGGCAACATGCTGCAAAACTCCCAAGTGTTTGATTGAAGTGCAAAATAAATATTCAAGTATCTATATTAAATGACAATTGTACAGGATAATCCAAACTAAGCATAATATTTTGAAAATAAAGCATACCTGGATGTACATGTTCAAGGTAAAAGAATGTTTTGCAGCAAAAGGAGTTTACATTTGACCTTATAAAACCTGGAGTTTATATACAGATTCAAGAACTAATACTAACTTAAATTTGGAGTCAAATGCTTTCAGGACAAAGCATGAATATGAAATTTACAATATCAAAACACTGGACTAAGTGATCCATCATCTTAATTAATACCAAGGAGTGTTGGCATTAGCTTAGGTTTTTGAAAATTTGCCAGCTCGCCGAGAAGGTTCATATGGCACTCGTAGAATACTTGGAGTTTCTTCCATTACTCGTACTAAAAGATTGTCAATATAATCCTCAAGTTCATGAATGTGGGTATCTTTTTTCTTCAATTGTTCTTTGTGTTTCATCAACTCTTGTAAAACCTCTTCATAAGTAAGATTACGATATCCTGTTGCAGCATCAAAAGGATTTCCACCCTAGAATAAAGATATTTCTTTAAGATGGCAGAACTAGAAGCATTGTCTTGATAGAAAAATGTGAGTCAGAGCCCTCACAAAAGTTTATCTATGTAATTCATAATGCCATATGCATTACAGAAGCACGTTTAAATAAAGAGCAAAGAAATGCACTTATGACAAACACCTCTGCATAAATACTGCAAATACATTCATACTCAATTTTATCACAATTTTTACACAGTTTCAAGAAAATGTGGCTTCCCCCATTATTTTGCCTCTTGGAAGCCACCGAGAAGGTATCATGTGACCTCAGGAGTCTGCAAACATCATAAACACGTGCAATTGACCAGTGGTAAATTTTGTTCACATGCCTGGGGGATACTGCAGTGTTCTTAAGTGCGAAAGCCAGCCATTTTCCAATGCTGTCATAAATTTGAACAGTTGTTAAACAGGATCTAATCTGGGTCAGTCTTCATTCATGAGTTGTTAATCAAATGGTCATAAATTAAGGATTACTTGTATTTAACCCAGTTTCTCCATGTCGCTTCATGTAATTTCAGCATTGATCTTACTCTATTATCATAGAACATCCTACATAGCACTGTACATGGTGATGTACAGTGGTCACAAATTTCATGAATTAATGAATAATTAGAACCCCATTTCTAAAGAAATGCAGAGAGCATTTAGTAAATGTGTCCTATGTGTCATATGGATTGGTAAAAACCAAAGATACTTATATTACTACCATGTGGAAGCTGCAGGTAATATTTCTGCATTTGTTCTGACCTAGGATTCCCCAAAAAGTACAAAGCAGATTCCTGGTCCCGACAAAATCCCTTTTATTAAACTACAGTGAATTCCTCTCATTCACATTCAGCAAAGGCCTGATAAACAGTCTTTCAAAGGTGAAGTTATGACCAGAGACCTTATCTAGCTTGGAAATCTGCCATGTAAATATTTTCTAAATGCAGTGCTGTGCAAGGAAAAACTTGGCACAGAGTCTCTGAGATTCACAGATAATCCTGAAATGAACTAACGAACCAACAAATTGTTTCCTGCAAAAGCCCACACCCCCTTTCATTCCTCTTTTAATTCCTATGGGAGGGGCCATTCACCATCTACCTGTGGCTTTACACCCAAGTCAACCCTGATTTCTTAGCTGTTCTTTTCTTCTGGCAGCTCTGCACATGCGCACCCTGGGGACAGGCTCCAGCTGTTCCTCTGCCTCACTGCTGTCTAGCTCTGAAGACAACTGAGAACTACCAGATGGCCTTGGCCCCATCTTTGCCTCTGACGCAGAACCTTCGTCCGAGCCTTCCCCAGCCTCTAGGACTGGCCCATGTTCCTCCCCAACTCCTCACTGTTCGACTCTGCTGCCAGCTCAGCTGGCAGGCCACAACAACATCACAGCCAATTTTATCCATGCAATTTCAGAATTATTCACTATATGTGTCTTTCTGTGTACAAATTTCCATATAAGCAACATATGCAATTTTATAACTTACGCAAGAACAAACAAATCAGGAAAGCTGTTGTATTTGTTCCTCACTAGAAGTTGTAATGTTGTTTATAGGTAACAGGAGGCAACAACAGTTTCACACATTTTATCAAATCAGCCACTGGACATCAAGAATTATAAGATTTGGTATATTTCTATCGTTTCTATCAAACTTGCTATTCCCGAAAAATTCTGTTTAAATCAAGTTCTGATTTGTATTTATATATCCCATTGTACAATTGGTTGATGGTATGGAAAAAAGCTATCAAATCTAGACAGAATACTTAAAAGCAGAGATATCATCCTGCCAACAAAAGTGCGCATAGTCAAGGTTTTGGTTTTCCTAGTTGCAAGGTATGGCTGTGGAAGTTGAATCATAAGAAATGCTGAGCACCAAAGAATTGAGGCCTTTGAACTATGGTGCTGGAGAAGACTCTTGCAAGTCCCTTGGAGTACAAGGCAATCAAACCGGTCAATCCTAGAGAACATCAACCTGACTGCTCTTTAGAAGGCCAGATCCTGAAGATGAAACTCAAATACTTTGGCCACCTATTGAGAAGGAAAGACTAACTGGAGAAGAGCCTAATGCTGGGAAAGATTGAGGGCAAAAGAAGAATGGGACGACAGAGAATGAGGTGGCTGGATGGCGTCACTGAAGCAGTAGGCGTGAGCTTAAATGGACTCCAGGGGATGATAGAGGACAGGAAGGCCTGGAGGACCATTGTCCATGGGGTCGCGATGGGTGGGACATGACTTCGCAACTAACTACAAATGTAAAAACCTAGCCCTGATATAAGAAAACAAGCAAAAGGAAAGTACTGTAGTTTCTGCTATCAATTAAGGATCTAGGGCAACTATTATGACTAGGAAGTACTGGAACAGGCTAATTATATTCATAAGCCAGGAAAAGAACAGCTATATCTTTCTATGTAGATAGAAACCCTTAGCTGCAACAACCTGCAGACTTGAGCCTGAAAAGGGGGAAAGTGAAAGAAACAGGAACAATTAATTGCCATTCAAGAAAGAATTAGAGGAATGAAGATTAGGCTTGCCCAGCTGGTCACAAATCCTGTGTATAGTTTATCACTTTGTTCTGGCTTTGAAGAACTGATCTCATCCACTCCCTTTGCTTGTATATCTGGCTTTTTTTTGTAGTTTGTAAACCTGATGACGGGGCGTCTCCCTCTCTCTTTTGTTTTATGTGAATAGCTAGTTAATTGAAAATACTCACACAAATACTCCCACAAAATAAATAAATAAATAACACAACCCAGAGAATTCTGGGTAAATCCTGCAACTATCAGAATGTTTCAGCTGATTAATTCTGGCAGAACTTCAATAAGAAAGTTGCAGGAAAATATAAATACTAAGGAATTTACAGAACATCATTTTTTTCCATCTCTCACTATTGGTCTGCACCAAAAGCAGGAGCAGATTGTAATTGAGATCTAAGTGAAAGAGGCCTCCATCTGGGATCCACAGTGCAGTGTTATTAAGTGAACATTTCTCTGGACTATTTCCCACTTTCCTGGCAGATGATGATGCAAGGCAACTAGTCTATATTTGAAAAGAACCCAATATGATTAAAATGGATAATAGACATGACTCAAAAACATTTCTTGGTTGCTTCCCAACAGTGAGATAATGCTACATGCTTCTTTTTAATGAATTCAGGCTCTATTTTAAGATTTGCTCATATCTATCACTTTCTATATTTAAACAGCAAGTTAGGGCTAATTCATATCCACAGAAACCACACTAACATCCAATAATCTGCAAGTGAATGAATGAAATTGAAAGTATTATTGCATATATGAGGTAAAATCTATATAAAAATGCTTTCTCTTGCTTATGTATCTGGATGACAATTAATACATTCAAATCATGAACTAATGTTGAGCTAATCAAATATAACTATCAATGAATTCTTCTGCCTTTTTGAAATTATTTACACTAATAGATACATGCATATAGGTATAGATTTAAAATGGCATTTAAAAGTAAGTGAAATGTTTAGATGTGCATAATTACTTTCTAAGATAAAAAACAAGAAGAACATTTGCAAGATTCCAGATATGTATCTGAAGTATTTAGACTGCTACCTGATGAATGAATATGACTGGAAAATGCCCATGAATTTTGAAAAAAAGGAAATATTTCTGACCAAACCACCTTAATGCCTGTTTCTATACATTATTATAATCTGATAACATGTTCTAATTCTGTAATCTAATGAAAGAATAAGCAAATTCTCCCTTGTTCCATTTTGTATACCTTATCTGTACAATTTTATACACCGACCTTTGCCTATCCTGGTAATATAAGGAATGGAATTGTTTATTCAAGACATATCTAAACATTGAAGTTTAAACTGCTTTTCTTTCAGAACTAAATCTTAAAGGTACAAAGATGTATGGTGCTTCTAAAGCATTGTTTGTCTAAGTACTGTACATTTTCTAGTCCTACCAGAGTTTTAATAGAAAAATCAGAATATTTGCAAGATTTACATTTCAGTGGACTAATGACTATGAGTATATGTTTCTCTTCCAGGTTGACCAAAGTGACTATAATATGTAAATTTAAGGATAGAGTTAAACTGTCAATATTACAATGCAACACTTAATAAAAAATAGAATATCTGAAATTTGTCTTATATGGCTGCTAGTCATATACGTACATATTTTTAATGGAAGAATAAAAGAGATGCTTGTGTAAGTTTTTAAATATTTAATTTTAATACTAATTTGTACATTGTTATAATGATCATTTTATATGTGTGCTGTTTATATTCCAATTATTATATGCTGCCCAGAGAAACTGTTTGAAAGGCTATCTAAATTTGATTAATGAATAAATACATTAAAAACTATTGATTATGCATAGATTACTTCATTTACTGTGCATATGTGTCTGCATATGTTCCTGTGTATCCATTCAAAATTAAGCTCCATTGTATCAATATAATTAAGTTTGAATAAAGAAAAAAATCATTAAACTTACTAAAACATTGCACCGAAAACAGATTATTATACACTGCTTTTCAAATGAAATGGTAATTTTTGTTATCTGCAAATAAAAAAGTTTTATGCTGTCAGCATAAAAGCAAATTCCTCAACTTGTCTACTAGGTAAAAATCAGAATTTCTGCTATGAATGTGAGATATTTAATTGCTTATCATATAGCCTTTAAATTATATTTTCAACTCTGGTAACAAATGGGAAGCTTTTTGTTTATATCTGAATACGATCATAAAATATAATACCAAAACTCACTTGTGATTTAGGGAGCTAAACTACATCAAATATACAATACTTCGGTTTCAATATCATTAAAATAAGCAGGTGGAAATTTGAGATAAAGCTAACTAGAATGGGTGAGTGATGGAGACAATATAAATGCTGCAAATCAGTCAAGTATTATTTTTTTTGAGCTCCTGATCGATCATTAATGGAAAATAATAAGAGTGCTTTACTTATATTTATATCTCATCTGCTTTTAGAAATCATCTCAAAATAGTGTCTATAATCTCCTGCAACTTTATAAATACTTATGACTGGGAGAAGTTTACAATATCATAGACATAGGTTCCAAAATCTAAAAGAAATGGTGATCCATACTTTTTGTCTCTCTGAATTATATGTAATAATTCTTTATGTATATATTCATTCACACTTTTAAAAAATGTTCATATTTCAGATAATCATTTTTTTTTGTTTCCAACTTTGTAACAGTTGGCAGAAGAGATACCATTTTAATTATATACCGCAGATGGTTGAATATATTACATTTTGTTCATTTCTGATCATTTAGATCAAAACATATGCATAGTAAAACAACTATGTCAATGCAACTAATGTAGTGATTGAGATCTGCATGATTTTACTATTTTAAATGGAAACACATGTTCAGTAAATGAGAACAAATTAACTAAAAATAAATATTCTATGCCATTTCCCAACAATACTGATATCAAATTCAATAAATAGGAGAAAACCCCACAGTTTCAAGCTAGCAAGCGTGTAGAGAAAGCCTGATAATCAAGTATTATTTGGGTACAAACTGATAGCTACTGCTGGAAAAAGCAAAGATAACATTTGAACTTGGCATTCTTTGATCATTTGTTTATTCTAATGAGGAGCTTTGTTTTGGGAATATAATTGAAACCACTTTCACATCTCTTGTTTTACTTTTCCATTCTCCTTTTGGGTTTTTAATTGGGCTTTCTTTTCAATGGGCTACCTCTCATTCAGTCACAGGTGATAGCACTAACGGAACAAGACAAATATATAAAATACCATTTCCCAGAGGAAAACTACAATGTAGGTCATCGATTTAAATTACTTCAAACTTATTTGTTAAGTTTAATATTTAAGAGTTAAGTTGCAATATTTGAATTCTTACAATAGTTATGTTTTAAATTTCCTGAAAAGTGCCTTCTAGATATTTTACTCCCATAATTTGGACTTCAAAAGTAAAATAGTTGTTTTAGAAATTTGTTATCTTGTTCTGAAAATAATATAGAAGCACAAACATAAAATGCTTTGAAATATTGGGTAAATAATAATATTTGTTATGCAGGCACTTGGCAACCTGTTCACATTTACAAATACAAGGGGTGTTTCAACTTCCTTTGCCATCTATCCAGCCTCCCAATCTCGGACTTCAGTCAATCTGTTGTCTTCTTCCTCCCATTGCTGATAAGGTGCAAATGCACAGGATGACAAGGACAGTGAGGCTGGCAGAGTGCAGCAAGGTCAAAAGAGCAGAAGTGTTGGGGACAGAGAAGGGATGAGTTGAAGCAGAAGTGTGCTAGCAGGGTAGGAGAAGTGTGAAAGTACAGCACAGTCATGGCTTAGTAACAGCAATAGGGTCTATCAAAACTGTTGTCACTAATTTTTGCCCTATTACCACATTACTTAAGAGAGGAAAATTCCAGTTTCAATTGGGTTGCAAAGTGAGTACTAACTGAATTTCTTTTTCAATAAGTCTAAATTACATTTTCTTTTTTTCATTCTGGTTTGTCGCTGTGGCTCTTTGTATCCTACTGGGAGTCTTTAATGATTGAGTTTATTTTTAATAAATAAATAAATGTTTCTTGATTATCATCTTGTAATATTTATTAATCAATCTAGAATTCACATTTGGATTAACTTTCCTAAACCACTTAAAAAGACCCACAGGACTTGGATTTAGCGAATAATAATTGAGTATATTATCTTCGAATAAACAAAAAGCAAAAGGATGAAAGGGGATTAGGGAACTTAGGTTCAAAAGTGCTCATGCATTGTCATCTTCCAGTATTTCTGTTACCTTTTAATATATTTCCTTCTTAAAATATATATCCCAATGAATTTAATGAATAAAAGTTCATATTTCCACCAAACTCACAAGCTTATGTGAAGAAGTATTATGTATCTAGTCACCCAATTAAAATATATATAACCAAGGTGAAAAACAACAGGTAATATAGTTGAGAATGTATGAATCCATTCAATATAAATAGAGGCCGAGGGGGGTTAATCTCTTCAGATTAGAAAGCAAGAAACTGGGGAGAAATATACAGCAACATAAATAAAGTTAGATAATTAATTTTTTAACATAGAGTAAGGATAGGCAGCTATGACCCTTGAGCATATTTTTGTAGCTGCCATAACCTCACATACTACGAATACTTAAAACTGATAAAACAATCTATTCCCATTTTAAGGCAGGAGATTATTTTAAGCGTAAAAACAATCTTTAAAAAATTAAACTCTCCCCAAAACAAAAAGGGGAAGTGATAAACCCTACCCCCAGCCAAATGTGGCCTTTGGTTGTTTCTATTGTCCATCACTATTGTTCTACCCACTACAGCTTTTGCTTCTAGAAAAAAAGTGATGCCTCCAACCACGAAAAGGTTACCCATCTTAAATAGAAAAGCACTCTCTCCGTGCTGGTCAGTCATATCAGCCACTTACCTATTCAAGCAGTGTAAGAAATAGTCTATATTTATACCAATACAAATTCTTCCTTTCTTCCTTTATGTTAGGAAATTTAAGTCAATTGTTATTCCCTGCGTACTTAAAAACATTAAGAAAATATATAAGGCATGCACAATCCCTTCTTATGCATATTAGGTATGGGATTACACTGCATTATTCTGCTTTTCATCCAAACTTTTAATATGTGGTTTGATTCATGAAACCACTGGCCACAGGTTCATGAAGAACAGGCTATTTATACCTTTAAATTATTAACATCTATTGTGGGTAATATATCTCACGTCAAAATAATCAACCATTATCCATTTCAAGAAGGAAATAAATGTATTGGACTAGACAGAGTTCTGGATTAATTAAGGAAAGAAAATCTGCCATTTGTACTATTAAATTAGGGTTCAATAAGTCAGCTTAAAGAACAAAGTTTTAAACAACAAAGCTTTAAACACCGGATATCCTTTGTCAAATATCAAATGGAACATCAATCAAGTAGTTACTTACCATTGTTTTTTGAAATTCTTCAGAATTTTCGGAATTCACATTAAGACTATGAAAGTAATAAAAATATATATTATATAATAAATATTAAGAAGCATGTGATTTCAAAATAATGGTTGCTCTTTTTTTCCATATAATCATCCTTCCCCCATATTTTTAAAAATCAGAGCACTATCTTTTTAAAAATCAACATATTTAACATGTGTAGCAAACAGAAAGTTCAGAAAATTTGGATGTCTTTGAGAGCTATATGAATAATAGAGTGGTAATAATGTTCTACTATTCTGATTACAAAACAAACACAAAACACGCTTCTTTACTATAGTCATAGTAACAAGCAGTAAATTTTATATATATATATATATATATATATATATATAT